ATCGGTTCACAACCACGCCTGAAATCTCGATTATCACTTTATCATGCGAGAGTATAAAATGTTCGGTGACACCCGAACTTAGCCCTTCCTTACTTGTCTGAGATAGATTCGTTCAAATGTGATCTCTATTGATATTTATAGGTTCATAGGTAAGAAGGCTCAATAGGAGAATGGGACGTAGCACTATCCACTTTTAGCTGAAATCTCGTATCTGTGGACACGCCTGACCGATTTCAACCACGTAACGTAACATTCTTATGTTACTATGCGAAAATGAGCGAAATTGGTTTGCAACCATGTCCACTCAATATCTCAATGAAAATGAGAGAACGTATTTAACTTATAACGGTGTATCTCTGTGCCTAAAATAGCTATTGCAGCCTAGACCACTAAGGAGGTATCGTCTTTAAACTTATTAAGTGGTGGTTCCACGTGCACTTTTTCAAAATATTTAGCCCGCGGGTGCATCTAGCTCCTACGAGCTTAGTTATGGCATTTTATACGGTTTTGGGAATTGTCATAATTTGTAGGCGTCGCAATGGTCCGAGAAACATATGTACCAAACTTCATCAAAATAAATTAAATTTTACTAAAGTTACAGCTTGGATGAACGGATGAACAGACAGACAGTCAAACTCAACTCGCCTCTTCATCCTGGTCATGTATGCATATACAAGTATAAGGTTAAGGCGCAAAAATAACTTTTCGATGTTTTTTGGCTGTAATTTTTAAAAAATGAAAAACTTTGTTTCTGCTTGTGGATTATTTTTATGTGTTCTTTTAATTTTTTTTTAATCAATTCGAGAATATGATATAACAGCTAATTGTCATTTGAGCCCTTTTTATGGCATTTTCCTTCACTTTGGCCAGAACTTCAGGCGATAGGTCCTCACATTCTTGACGGATATTGTCTTTAAGAGCGGCAAGAGTCTGAAGCTTGTTGACATAAACCCGAGACTTCAGACTTAGGCGCCCAGGAAATGCATTCTTCAGCATATCGGTTGTGGCATGTGCAGTGTATGTCATTGTACCGTGTTGTTGGAACCACATATTTTCCAATCCCAATTCATCAAGTTGCGGCAAAAAGAACTCGTTGCTCATTACTCTGTAGCGCTAACCACTCACCGTATTGCCGGCGACGTCGTTGAAGAAAAAAGCTCCGACGACTCCTCCAGCGAAACAGCACACCATACAGTGACTTCTAGCGTCGTAATGGCTCTTCGCGGGTTACATGCAGCTTTTCAGTGCCCCGGAAGCGTAAATTTTGCTTATTTACGTACCCGCTAAGATGGAAATGGGCCTCATCACTCATGATTTTTTTGTTGAAAACTCATCTTCATCTTGGTGGTGATTAAGGATGGCTTGAGCGTATGTTCGACGCGATTGGCGGTCAGCAGCTAACAGCTGATGCACCATCTGGGCTTTGTACGGAAACATCTTCAAATCATGTACCAAAATTCGCTGTAAGCACCGTCGACTGATACACATTTGCGTGGCACGTTGTCTGGACTATGTCGACGGCGCTTCCATGACATCCTTGGCAATAGCAGCAATATTCTCTGCAGAATGGATACTCCTTTGTGTGCCCCGCCTTTCAGCATCTCGTGTTGTGTCAGTCTCATCGAGACGAGCGGCTAAACGTCGCAGTGTTTCACCAGTAGGCGTCGGACGGCCAGAAAATCTGTGACGAAATTCACGTTGTGCCAAAATCCCCGACCGATTATTGGTCAAATAAATAGTCACCTGAATTCTGGAGCAGTGTAGTGTATCATGGTTTATTTACGTGTATTTCGCATTTACTACACAAATGTCAAAACAGAACTGACTTTAGGAGCCAATTGCAAAATTTTTATCATCTTCTGATAAGAGGATTACTTTTGTGCCACCCTGTATATCACCCTATATCTATCTCGAATAGTTTTATGTTCTATATAGTTAATTTCATAAATTGAAACGCCTTCTTTGGTATTTAAATTATAAAGCACTCTTCCTTATTTTTCGTACTTCTTCCATATATCAAACATACTTATTTTAGACGATTTTATATAGGATAGGTGTCAGTGGAGAGAGAGTAATGTAACCATATACAACCGTACACTATAAATAGTGTATAGCAGTGCTTAGTGGTGATAGCTTCATAATTTCAACTTCTGTATCGAAAATGACAGGAAATTTACTAGTATGAGTTTAATAACTGTATCACTCCGTAATTTACCGCGTTTCGAGTTTCTTTCCATGACGAAGTTTCTTATTTTCTACAATTTTTTGTGGTTTGAATAGGCAAAATTTATGGCCATAATCTAAAACTTTGGAAGTACATTATTGTCTACAAAAGTGTAGAAAATAACAGAGACATGAAGTGCTACTTTTTCTTCAATTACCTATTCCATTGCAGTCCCTTTATTAAAAGTTGTTTCTAGAAAACATATTTCCTTCAATAATGAGTTCGAAAATTCTACACATTGTGGCCGGCAATCGGTTTCCGACGTAATTACACTACTTTCTTGCAGTTCACACTTAGCGAGTAAATTAGTTAATTTATTGTTGTCCTTATTACTAACACAAATATTCGTTTGATTGAAGGGTCTTGGAAAATATTTTCTTAAATTGCTTTATTATGTTCGTGAGTATATGGATGAGTACACTTAAATAAATATACGAATACTTGCGTATGAGATGGAATAGTTGGAGCGATAAACTTCACATCATTCATTTGCAATGGATTCGTCGTTGAGAGTACAATACCTGGGAACAAAACATGGCACCATGAAGCATTACAATATACATAAAAAAGTTGTCCAAAAGAGAAAGCTGAAAAAACTCAAATATGTTTTGTTCGATAATTTTAAGGAGTACTGCGAGAATACTTCGATACATGGATTAAAATACATAGTGAATAGAAGTTTATTCCCTCTCGAACGGTATGTATATCTCATAGACTATGTTATGGGTAA